CAGGGAACGTTATATAAGTTATTCTCTCAGACATTCTTCTTAGTCGGCAGGTTGATGATACAGCATTTAAAAGATCTCCAGATAGATGAAAATTTTAGTTAAGCCCTCTGGATATTTTTTCAAGACTTCTGGTTGATGAATTTTTAGTTTGAAGACCTGAATCTGTTCAAAAATAATCTTCCTAGACGGCAGGTTGATCAAGAAGTATTCTAAAGCTCTCTAGCTGATCAAAGATTTCAATAAGATCCTCTGGATCAGATAATAATTCTGCAAAGTACATACTTTAAATTCTAATGTCGTTACTCAGAAATTCTCCCAAAGTTATAGGTTTACCCCCAGGAAAATTCAAAAGATGTTGAGCTGATTGATGATTTCAGTTAGAATCTGTAGATTTTTTTTTGGAATCAAGAAGGAGCTTAAAATAACAATGCAAAAGATTTTTATTTGTATAGCTTTTCTGATTGATATTCGCCTTCACAAAACATGAAATGTTTTGAAGGAATATTAGGGCGTTCAAAGAATGTGATTGCGAGTATAATGTCTGATTTTCAGTGTCTTTAGGCTTGCACTTTCGATAGATATTTTTCTCATTTTAATGGTCTTTTACAACCAAGTTACCCAAAGATCTGCTTTAAGATTTCTCTTATCTTAACCAGAACAAATTTTCTGGAAGTTATCCCTTACTAAAGAGTTGGTTGAATTTGTCCGTTGAATCCCTTTGAATTGACCGGCCATCAGTGATACGAAACATTAAAATATTCAAATCTCATGCCTTGCATGGCGAAGTTCAACCACAAACGTAGTAAACACCCATGGATCCAAGGAATTCAGAATTTAACCCCAACCCAAAGGAACAGATTTTGCCTGGATCCCACACTGAGGTGTGGAATTACATGAGAAAGTTGGCCACTTCGTGTTTTCAGGCAGGTCATCAAGTCTCTAGACCGAAAAGGTTCCAGTACAGGACTTAATGAACTGGATCATATCAGATTTGATGCAGCTGGAACATGGAATGGCTACAGTGTAGCTCACTCTTCATTCGCCGGATTATAAAAGGGTACCGGAGTAGCCGTCCCAGGTAGTTCTATCCCGATTACGAGCGAGAAACCCAAAAGCCTCCCACAACATGGGCAGTGTTGGGCTATTTCGTAAAATTTGAAATGTTTTCATGCATCACACACTTTAGAGAATTTCACTGTAATTGTCCCCGGTACCACGGAGCGTGGCTCCTCTATGGGATCCCGGAAGCATCAGGAACGCTCTGACGGACTCAGGACCAGTGCTGCGTGCTTTCAACAATGTTAATTAACTTAAGATATTGGTCTAGCGCTGAATTTCTCTCCCGACACTGATATTCGTAGTAGGAATGTTATTTGGTGGTACAGCTTCGAGATTACTATTTATAAATAATCATGAAGGAAAAGTTATAAATCTTACTGTTATCTCAATAAATTTTCTTTTTTGTATAACCAGGGCAATGTTTTAATATTACTGATTAGTTTTCTAACTATCTATCGGTTCTCGATTAGCTGACTGTTTAAGAAAAAATGCGACAAAGCTTTGAATATCAGTGGTCCCTTTACGGCGTCAATGTAAATGAGGCGAATGAAATTGATATTCTTACTGTGAGAAATGGTACTGATATCAGGTGGCTTGTGAAATTCAGCATTTTGTAGGTATGTTATATTGATATTTTGCAGCACTGCACAGGACTTCTGAACCAAATTTAATGAAGTAAAAACAATCTTACACTATCAAACTCAAACCACGGCTCAACAAATGACTAACTAAGAAGAACAGACCAAGCACAGCAATCACATGAACTTTTCCACTCTCCGCATGAGAACCCTTCCCGCCAGCGACCAGCAGACATCCCGATCCTGCGCTTGAGTCGAGAAACGGGGTTTTCCGGATCTACTTGCACGCTACCTCTACTGCTTCTGGACCACCACCATCACCACTGAGACGCATCGTGGATAGCACTGTGGAAGCCCCCGATTTCTCTGCCTCAGTCGCGCTTACTCCAGCCAGCGCTCAGCATAGTCGTCTCGGCTCTGAGTGTAGATGTAGGTCGGGGGTCTTCCCAACCAACTATTACAGGCAAGTATATTGACGATTCAGCCTCTCCTTTGCCTGATACCGCTTCAACTTCTAGCTGTGTTTCCGGTTCTGCGGTCTTCGCACTAGCCACAGTCTACTACCAGAACGTCGGTGGTATCAACTGTGATGTCGACGATTTTTGCGTAGCTACCTCGGATCTTTGCGACGACATCATTGTTCTCACGGAGACATGGCTGGATTCACGAACGCTCTCTGTCGTCAGGTGCTCGGCGACGATAATGAAGGAATAGACGAGTGCACTGGTGAACTTTTGTTCATCTACTGATAAAAAATTGACACAACAGTGGGGCCCTGTTTACTAAAAATGAACACATGAATAATGCTCGCGTAACATTTGAAAAAGGCCTATCAACTTTTGTAAACAACTTCCTAGGTCCTTTTCACGAGAACCGAAGTACGCCCATGCAAACCAAGAGCACTATCAGGAGGGGGAAAATTTATCCTACCCAATGGTGCTGTTAGTTTGCGTGGGCGTATTTGGTTCGCACTAAAAGGGCTTAACAAGTTTTGTGAAGAAAAGTTGAAAGGCCCGTTTCAAATGTTACGTGAGTATTATTCATGTGTTCATTTTTAGTAAACATGGCCCCGCTGTTGTGACGACTTATTAGACACCGTTGACATTGAGTCCACCCCTTAAACTATTTCCAATGTCTTGGCATATGTCATTGACAGACACGTTCCGAAAAAGATTCATCATCATACGACCCATCCACCATGGCATACGAGCGAATTTCGTCGACTGAAATCCAGAAAGAGAGTCGCTCTTACGAAATCCACCAAGCACCACCGGAATGTGCAGCAGTTTGGATGTAATATTCAACAACAATTTTTTCTGCATTCGTCAGATGTGGTATGTGTCTTCAGCTCCAGCTGACCACTTATCATTTTCAAGAGCTGACATCTACTAAATAGACCAGAAAAAGAACTGGCATCACTGATAAGTTCGAAATGTGGTGGCTTGCTCAATGCTTCAGTGGCGCCACCATGACAAATGCGAGCACATTCCCAACTAAAACCTGATTTGCGATGAATGTGATTGTGGGAGTTATGTCTGTTTGTCTGTGGTTTTAGTATTGGGATTATTTGGTTCAGTGTGTAAGAAGTTAGAGCTATTTTAGAAAAATGCTTTTGAGTAGTCCACGCAGGCTCGTAAATTGTTTCGGATCGATGGTTTTAGAATTATTTGTTATTTTACACAGGTATTTGTTACTTTGTTTACGTTGTTATGTTTTACACATTTGTTTCCTTAGTTTTGCACACGACTAACATCTGAAAATGGCTTATGTAAAAATGACTTGCATAAACACAACAATACATATCTCCAGAACGATTAGTTTGATCGAGACGGTGTCTTGGGTGAAGTAGTGGAGGAGTATTGTGCCTTCCTAGAAAAAATATACACTGCTAGAAATAAAATCTTAATCAATCTCATATTGCATATTTAAAAAAATATATAAACAAAATTGAAGCTAAGGTAACGTTTAAATTACTTTCAATGTGTTTTAGGTAGAAATTTATTTTTGAAAATACTTTCTAAAACTTGAAGCAGTGTAAATATTAAAAAAAACATTGAATTTACAACAAAAATTTCCCGGTGTTGTTATTTTCGAGATATTCGTATCTTAAAATTTACTAATCGTGTAATTTGGAAAATTTATGTCTTTTTATTCGTGAGTGTCCAATCTTGAAAATATTTTGAACAAAACTCCCAATTAATTTCATTGGACATTGTGGTTTACAGTTTTTAATCAAACACATGAGTAACGAGATAATAAATACATCATCATGATGACATTATGGGAAAAGTGCATTTTTATGTTTGGCCTCATACAACTAGCTAGTATCAAAATGAAAACCACGCTCGACTAAAATCATATTTTGTTTGTTTGTGAATTGTCCAACTTAAACACATCGATGGTTATCTGAGATTCAAATTTATTTTTTTAAATAAACGGTATCGAAAATTTTAAGTTTTCTTTTAAATTTAATTTTGTTTTACGAAAATACACAATTATTTTTTTCAATGTATATGTTTTTCTAGAAAGGCACAATACCGTTCCACAACATCACCAAGCACACAATTTTGATCAAACAAATCGTTCTCGAGATAGGTAAAAGTTAGTCGCGTACAATACTAAGGAACAAAATGTGTAAAGTGGCATGTTGGGCAATAGCAACAACTGTGCAAAATTTCAATTTAGTAGGTAACGGTCGATTAAATAATTCGAAAAAAAAAATGGTAATGTTAAATGGAACCGCTCTTTTTTTTCTCAAAAAAACATATTTTCTTGAAATAAAATGAACTAAATGTTTTGAAATTTTGCTCATTTGTTGTCATAATGAAGAACTTATATTTGTTGCTAATTACACTCAAATCCGTCAGCCAAGATTTAAAAAATCGATCTAAATATTCAAAGTATTCCAAAAAATGGTCCATTCAGGTGTACGCTCATTTTTGCGATACGCTGTATAAACGATGCCGAGGTCTCACGTTAAAAGGTGATTCCTTGTAGCGTCCTTTTTCTCATGACACTTCGAAATTTCACAAGCCCACATATCAAGGTTTTGCGAATGAACGTAGCTGAAACTACTACTTGTTGTTTGCTCCGGAGAAGCAAGTAATGTCCCGATTTATTAGCCTCGAAAATTATGAGAATTGTGCTCTTGAAATTGCGAAGTGTTATGAGAAAAAAGGCTCTACACGGAAACACATTAAGACAAAAATGTCACGTAACACTGAATTGGCAAATTTATCCTCTCTTCAAAGCTTCCTCAGAAACTTCTTCAATATTCCTTTAAATCTCTTTGAATTTCCATGCATCAACTCATCCCACCCGCTGCGACCCATTCATGCCCTGTGTCGTTTTCCCCCTTTCTTAGGAATATAAGGAAAAGCTAGTGGTGGTGGGTTGGGGAAATCAGTAAAACGCTAAACATGAGGTACCTTTAGAGACCGCTGGGCTCGAGTTCGAACTCAACGCAACGATGCGGTCTTCGAGTTCCGAAACTGATCGTCACGCGAACGGAACGAAGTGGAACTTTTTACTTACACTGACATCCCCGGCCAAGCCGACACCGCTAGCACCGTTCCCATTTCCGGATACGCTCAACGCATTCGCCAGCAGGTGGTGCTGCGAATGTTGATGGGAATGCTGCTGCTGTTGTTGTTGTTGCTGCTGCTGTTGCTGCTGTTGTTGTTGTTGTTGTTGTTGTTGTTGTTGTTGCTGTTGGTGATGGTGGGAGGGATTTCCATTGAGGTGATCGTTGAGGGAGTTACTATTGTTTTGGGCGCAGTAGGAGGAAGAAGACCTTTTTCGACCCGGACCTGATCCGGAGCCGGCGGAGGTCGTCGATACCACCACTGCTGCTAATGGTCAATCCCTCCCAATCCGTTTATGTATCTGCTGGTGTTTGATAAGGTGTGCCTTTTGTCGGAAGGCCTTGGCGCACACTTCGCAGCGGAACGGCTTTTCGCCGGTGTGAGTTCGCAGGTGTACCTTGATGTTGCTTTTGTTCAGAAACCCCCGATTGCAGATGTTACACCGGTGGACGGGTTTGTCCTTACCGAGTAGAAGGTCACTGGCACCGGCAAAGTTCATAGCCGCTTGTGATTGGGCGGCTGCCGCTGCTGCTGCAGCTGCCACGGCGGAAAGCTGCTGCTGGTGGGATTGCTGGTGCATGGAAGATTGCTGTTGCTGCGATTGTTGAGATTGAGCTTGGTGCACCTGTTGGTGACCGTGGCCATTGGTTTTGGCCTGTTTGTGAGGTCGTCGCTTATTTTTTGGTGTCGTTGGGGTCGTGGTAGTGGTATGCGGGTAATTGCCTAAGAGCTCGGGACTACACAAGCCATCCGATTTGATGCCCATATTGAGAGCGAAGTGAGCATTTTGATGATTTTGCAGGTACCTTCCGTTTAGGATCAGGTTCTCGGTTGTAGAAACTACCGAACCTGGTGGACTAGTTGAAGTCGATATCAGCTCGCCGCAGTAGGACGTCGAAGAGGGGGTTTCCAACTTGATCGGTGGCCCATTCTGTAACCGATTCTGCAGCAGAGGCATGTAGGTATGCGTTAGCAAACTCTGTAACGTCGAACCGGACGTGTGCCCCGGCGAGTGAGGTAGGATTAGTTCACTGAGGGAATCTTGCTGAGATACGATCAGCTTACTATCGGGCGTTGTACAGGTTCCCTCGATCCAGGCATCCAAATCCATCCACGAATCCCTCGTATCGTTCCCGTCCTCTTTTTCAACCTTATTGTTCGGAACCGTCGTGTCCGCAATGGCCGACCCTATGATCGCTGCTATGTCTTCAATCGAACTCATGTCGTACTCGGACAGCTCTTTGGAATCGACAAATATCTTCGCCGTGGAAACCGAATCCGCCCCACTTATCACGCACCCATCTGCATTGGCCGAGTAGATCTTACCATCGATCGAACTGTCCGAAAACAGTTTCACATCCTGCAGGCAACTGTCCCTTCCATTCCCATCCGGATTTAACACTGAATCGGGTAGACACGTCGATGACGATACAATGTTGTTATCGCCGTTGTTCCCTCTGTTTCCCCCATTCGTGAATGAATTCTGCGGGTAGTTGTTGTTCTCCTCTGGCAACCGCTGCGCAATCGCCGTGTAGGAATACCCCGAAATGCCATTGATCGACAAATGGCCCGTATTGAACGAGGTAAACGAGGGCAGCGGTTTGACATCCCCGTCGTTGCTGGAGCTGTTACTGTTGATCGAAGTCGAGTTCAGCAGCAGATTCTCCAGCACGTCCATCGAATTCTTTTGCGTTTCGGAATCACTCGGCAGCGATTCCAGATCGGTATCCATCAGTAGCTTTTCGCCATCGAGCAGATACTGGTCCTGACCGCTGCTCGATTGGTTCCAGCAGGGGCTCATCAGTAGGCTCTCCACCTCGGATTCATTTTGTGCGCTCATCATGTGATTGACCATTTGTGGTCCGACTGTGTTTGTATGTTTTTCTCTTAAAATTATAACTTCGATTGCTTCCAACTGCAGTGACAATTCGTTGCTGGACTCAAGGGACACTAAAGAAAGTGATCGACGTCGGGAGCGGCATCCGGTAGTACATGGCCAGACCTGGAGGAGGAGAGCGGAAGAAATAGACAATCTCATTAGCATGGTTGTATATTCATGAAAGAACTTAATTAGGTTAGAGATTTGCACATGGGTTGCCGAACGGGTGATATGCATCGTTGAATAACTGGTTTAGGTTCTTTTTTTCAAATGTGCCGGCTGGAGGGGGAATGGTATTTGCATCCCGTGCTCCAGATGTTTATCACAAACTAGTGGTTAAATTTGAGCCTCGCGCGAGTGGCTTTAAAATGCTAATTTTTGAAGAGTTGTTAATTATTCACAGCGGTGTGTAGTTTATCCGGTGTGATTAGTCTTTTGAAAGCGATTTTTGCTTCATAGCATTAGATTCCCAAATGATTACTTGTTTTGGGACTAACTAGTTGAGAGTTAAATTGACTTGCTGCGACAGTTTGTGAACTACAAAACTCGGAATATCAGTTTACTACGTCAAATGCAGGACATCTACGTTCATAAACGTAACCATAAGGGGGCAGGGGGACCAACTGCCACCCCTTAACTCAGCAACCCATTAACACAGCAACCCCTTAACTCAGCGTTCGGTCTATTGGCATTCGGCCAAAACTTCCATAAAATATGTTGCACCAGGTTGCAGTTGTCTACGCCTATCTAATCTTGTGATGGTTATTGTTTGAAATATAAGTCAGCTGCCAGAGATTGTTTGAGGAATGACAAATGAATGTTGTTTCATGAATGTTATACTATACAGAAAAAAATCAGAATTCTACTGGTGATGCATGTATGCAAACATTCATGCATGTTCTTTCTTTTCACGTAAACTAGCAAGAAATGTTGCTTAAAAAAAATGGATTGTTGCATAGTATATTTGATATATTTAATGGCATGTCAGTACTGTCATGGTAAATTTAGAACTGGTTGCTCACTAATTTCTTAACTGCGCGCGTCCCATCCACTTTACATGAGATATAGTGTATACTTGTATGATTTACGACGGTCAATTTATGTACTTTATATTTAACAGAAATTCACGATACTTTTTCAAACTGTAAACTGCCCAAAAAACTGTAAACGTTTGTGGAATTCTCTTGACTTTCTCAGAGTCCAGTTAAATTCTCTGGACTTTCTTGAAGTTCACTGGAAGTCCTTAGAACACAATTTTCTTGAAATGAAGTGTTCTGCGTTGAAGGTCTTTCGAAGTTTTCAAAACTAAAAAAATCCTCTGTACTACCTTTGAAATCTATAAATTTCCCTGAATTTATATGGAATTCCATAAAGTTCTTTCTATTTTCCTAACAATCATGTATCAACTTTGAAGTTCCCACAATTATTTCTGAAATTCTAGGAACGTCCTGAAGTCTTAACAACTTCCATGAGGTTCTTGAACATCCATAAATTTTTTGTAATTTTTTCTGAAATTAATGGTACTATCCTAAGGTTCTCTGATCTTCCCTGAAGATCTCGGAACTTCTTCAAAGTTCTTGAAATTCTCGTTCTTTTGAGTTCTCTGGTCTTTTTGAAAATCTGGAATCATCTTAAAATTTCCGCGCTACTTTTCTGGAATTAATAGATTTGTAATGATCTTTCGTTACCTCAATTCTTGAAAAAACCTTGAAGCTTACGGAACTTCTTTTAAATTTTTTTGATCTTCCCTAACGTTCTCTAGAATGATATGAATCTTCCGCACTTTCCTTGAGTTCCTTGGAATTTCATGAAATTATTGTTACTTCTTTAAGTCCCCGCAATATACCTGAAATTAAAAGGAAATAATAAATGTCGTTCTAAGATTTTCACTTAGTTTCTCAAATTTTTCTTGCAGCTCATAATTTTTTTTCCCTAATAGTGACTTTCCCGATGTTATGTGTGCTTTCTTCATGCTTTTGGGACAACCAGAAAGCGTTCAGAAGTTCACTGAACTGAGATTCCTGCTATTTGGTGAAGTTCTTGAAACTACCATGACAAGTACGGGCTTCCATTGAAATCCGCTCACAATTTTATAATGTGTATGCTTCTTTCCAAAACAAAAATGAAACTCTTGAAACTTCATAAATTCTCTGAGTTTCCCGGAACTTCTTTACAGATTCTGATAATTTCCTTTTAATTGAATGTACTGCCCTTATAGGTTCTTTGAATAGCCTTAATGATCTCGGAACATCCCTAAAGTTCTCTGAATTCTCCTAAAGTTCTTGGTACTGCCCTGAAATGAATGGTACTGTGTTAAAAATCAATCAAACCTTCCTGTTGTTCTCTGGGCTTCTGTGATGTTCCGGAATTTTCAATGAAGTTTTCTTAAGTTCTCTGGAGCTGTCTGGACTACTTTTAAATTTTCGGAAATTTTTAGGGCTCCCGACATTTTTCTAAAATTATTAGAATTGTTCTGAATTGATCGGAACGCAGAGACAAACCAGCCTAAAGCTAAAGTCTCTTTAGTAAAGAAAAAAAAAATTAAAAAAAAAATACGGAACGTACGTCTACACTTAAAACTTTCCCGAAAGTTTGAACTATTCTTGGAACTTCTCTGATGTTATTGGAACTGCCCATAAGATCTCTGTAATTCCTCAAAGATCTCTAGACCTAGCTTCTCTGAGGTACTTGAAATCCTCAATTTTCTTTAAGTTCTCTGTACATCTCTGAAGTTCTGTTGAATTCCCTGAAGTTTTCTGGATATTCCTGATGTTCTCAGAACTTCTTAAAAGCTTCTGTAGTTTTTCTGAAGCAAATGGAACCGCATTGAAGTTCTTTAAGCTCCTCAGAAGTTTCCATTTTTTCCATTATTTTGCGGAACTTCCCTTATGTTCTCGCAGTTTGTTCCAACAATTTTTTGTGAAGTTCATGAATCTTCCCAAAAATTCTCTCTAATTTACTGATGATGATCTGGAATTGACCTAACGATATCTAAACCTTTATGAAGTTCGCTGGATTTTTGTGAACTTCTAGGTATTTCTGAAATTATTCTTAAGCTCACTTAACTTGCCTGCAGTTTTCTAGACTACACTTTGCATACTTTTTTTTCAGAGCTTTTTGGACGTTACCGATATTCTCCAGAAATTAATGAAACTGCCTTAAAGTTCTTGAAATCTACCTGGAGTACTAGGAACTTGCCTGACGTTTTCCTAATATTCATGGAAATGCCATGAAATTTTCAGAACTGCCCCGAAGTTCACGTTGCTTCCCTAAAGATCTTTATTCTTATAACTGAAATATTGGCAATAACTTAAAATTTGTGCAAGCTTCCTGAAGTTAATGGAACTGTCCTAAAGCTCTTTGATATTGGATGAAGTGATTCAGCTAAAATATTTTTAAATGTTTGGATTATGTTTTCGCATGTAATTTAAACATTTGCCTTTTTTGGTGGAGCTTATTTTCAAACGTTAGTTTTCATCAGTAGGAGCCGATCATAATTGCTTTATCTTTAAGAGGGCCTATTTGGAGATGTAGGTATCTGTCTTCATAGGAACGGAGCATTCGTGAGGTGGCCTAGTTTAAACCCAATCATTTATACCTGGCCCATCACATTTTTCATAGAACATTTAAAGGTGCAGATTGAATCAAGATGAACACAGAACATTTCTTATGTTTAATATATTCAGCGCAATTTAGCGCATAGCATTCTCCACCCTGCATAGGATGTGCGCCAAACAATTCATTTGTATATTTTATAGCGTGACTTTTATAAGAGGAGCGAGTGTAGATCATTATTTCTGCGCCCAGCAAATATTTATTAAAAATAATATTTATAGTAATAATAATCGGTTTTCGGAGCTGATTACTCATGGTTACTCCGCCATTGACCGACCTGTGACGTGTGACGCTTCATTTATGTGCATCACAGTAACAGAAATTTACACTACTTTTTCGAACTTTGTACCTTCTGGAGCCTGCTGATCATTGATGTGATAAGATTTTTCCATCAGGAGGTGCAAGCGCGAAGTTGAGCTTTGTAGAATTTCAAAACGTTATACGATCTAGAAATTTTTCGAGTATGAGGAAAATGATTAGAGGTTCTACTCGGTCTATTAACGGCAATACACGCTTTTTCAGGCATGTCTGATTAGCTTCGATGTGAACTTGGGATGCAAAACGCTCGCCAAATCATGGCCTTTTTCGCGAACTTGTCGGCAAACACGAACTTGAATCTTCCCGGCACATCCCCACGTCCAGTCGCGATGTAAAATTTTTGACCGGGAAGCTGCTTAAAATCGAGTTTGACGTATGTTTCGTCATCGATCAAAGTGCAGCCCTTGTGTTTCGTCAAAACACGGTCGTACAAGAGCCTTGCACGCTTTTTGGCCACGGAATTCTGTTTCGTGTCGGTTCGGATGTTTACTAGCTTTGTACGACTTTCCTTCCCTGGCAAGGGTGATCCGCACCGTTTGAAAGTTGGCGTTGTACCTTCTGGCCACATCTCGGATCGAAAGACCGGGTTGGCTTTAACGCACCTCTACACCTTGCTGCGCAGCTGACGATCCCTGGATCCTGTTTTTTGTAGGTCCACTGATTCCTTTCCACACTCAGGGTTTCCTTGTAGGTTTTGAGCATTTGACAAACTGTTGTTTTCGGCATCATCAGCACTTTAGCAAGCTTGGCATCGGACTACTCTGGATTTTCCAGGTGTTTATGCACATTATTTGTTCTTCTCGAGTTCCATTTGACGTTATTTCTGAACACGATCGACAACTTTGATCAAACTTGCATCATTTGTTCTCTATAGAAGCGTAAACAAACCACTGTCAAAGATTTTAGATTCCCAACACTAGAGCGAGCTAGCGGTGCGCGAGGGGCGTGCCAATCTACCATTAGTCAGCCTTTAGTATACTCCTAGACTGAGAAAACATTTCGTAAATTTTCCTCATATTCGGGCATATTATTGAAGAAATGGTAGGAAATTGTTACTCGATCTTGTTACCGGCGGGTAACATTGTTTTCATATGTTTAGTACACGGGATATAGCTGTATTTATATTAGGGAGATTATTTAATCGGCAACGGTCAATTTGAATTCGTTGGTGGGTGGCATAAGTGGTCAGA